AAGGGGGGGGCGGGGCCCCCCCGGGGGGGGGGGGATGGGCAGCGGGGCTGGCCCCCCCCCCCCCAACTTAGTAGTCATCCGTCAGCCGCTTGGTTTCCGAGGGCTGGATCCTCATCTCCGCCTTCTGCCCCTTGGCTTCGTACATGGCCCGCGTGTTGGCCCGCCGGAAGAAACCGCACTGCGAGGAAGGAGGCGACAGGGGTCACGGAGGGGGGGACACGGGATGGGGGGGCGGGGGGGGCGACCTGGCCCATCGCACCCTGGCCCCTGAGGATGCTGAGGGTGGGGGGCCCTGCAGACCCACAAAAACCTCTCTCCCGGTTGGAGAGTGGGGTCCCCTGGGAGCCGGGGGGGGTCCCCAGGGGGCCAGAGACCCCCCCCAGTCCTCAGCGCAGAGGGAGGGGGGAGCCACCCAAGCCCTGCTTTGGGTGGGATTTTGGCAGCTCCCAAAATGTTTTGGGGTGGGGGTGGGGTGCGTGTCTCTCTGCTCCTCTTCCTCATTGCTCAGCAGCCGGGCACCTTCCACCTGGGGGGGCACCTTCTACCCATGGGGGGGGGCCCTTCCACCCCCCACTCCCGGGCATCCCTGCAGCCAGGCAGGGAGGGTGGCAGCCACCGGTGACACGAGCCCCTCTGGTCTCAGCATGGCTCCCGCACCCCCTCCCTGGGAGGGGGATCTGGGCCCCCCCTCACCTTCCAGAGCAGGAGGATAATCAGCCCCAGCAGCAGCAGCCCGGCCGCCACCGCCACCAGCACCAGCCACAGGGCGATCTCGGCCGGCTGCTCCTCCGTCAGCTCCGAGTCCACATCCACCGAGAACTGGAAGGGCCCAGAAGAGGCCTCGTCAGGAGGAAAAGCTCCCAGTTGGGCCCCAGTCTGTCCCAGTAAGGGGCTCTGGTGTCACTCACCCGCACCGTGTGGTTCCGCATGTTGATGGTGGGGACGTGGGTTCGGAGGAAGAGGGTGGCCGTGCCATCCACCTTCACCCGGTCAAAATTGCTGTATTCCTGGGGGGGGCACAGACGATGGGAGAGGGGGGGACGTGGGTGATGGAAGTGCGGAGATGTGGGTGATGGAACAGGGGGAACGTGGGCGATGGAATCGGGGAGATGATGAGGGTGATGGAAGGGGTGAGGGATGGGTGTCAGCCGCTGCGCTGAGACCCGGCAAACTCAGTGCCCTGCTCCAGCACTGTCCCCCCGAGGGAGCAGCCCAGCCCTGTGTCCCCCCCAGCTCCCCCATGTTCCTCCCCCCATCCCCACACCCACCTCAATGAAGGTGCTGTTCCAGACGCGGGCGCGGATGCTGAAGGTGGTGGGGTGCTGGGTGTCGAGCAGGGGGCACTCGAACCAGATGCACTGAGCGGTGCCCTCGGAGCAGCTCTGGGAGATAAAAGTGGGGGG